ATTGCTGTTTTCCCCAGTATGTATCCCAGGGTGAAGCAGTTTTAAGTGGTAAGACTAAAGAGTTATATTTAGCCAGATTTGGTGGCACATGCCTGTAATCCCTGTAGGAAGCTGAGGCAGGAGGATCGCAAGTTCGAGGCTAGCCTCAGCAACTTAGGGAGACCTTGTTTCAAACTAAGATTTTTTAAAAAAGTCTGGGGATATAGCTCAGTGGTAAAGAGCCCCTGGATTTAATCCCAGTAACAACAACATAAAAAAATAGTTTCATTTAATTAACTCATTTTTACTCTAGAAAGGATATAGGCTGCAAAGGAAAAAAGTGAGGGAAATTTAGGTAAATTGATAATTCACAAATAAATGATTTATCAGAGGAAATTAGGATGTTAGATGTTTGGGGTCTTCTTTCTCATTGCACAAGCCTCTCTGTCAAAAATAAATCTTGGGCCTTACCAAAAAGAGGCTAATTCTGCTGTCCTCTGCAGAGTGGATCAACAAATAGTGACCACTAGACACTGAGGTCACCAAGATGAAAAAGCTAGGTCCCTGTCCTCAGAAAACTCACAACATGATGCATACATATGTAAGTATGCACACACACTCTCACTTTCTCTAGCATAATCATAGTAAAGAGCAGCAAGTACTAAGATAGGCTCTCCCTGAGAGTGTGGAGGAGAATGATTCCTTCTATCATTGTTTGTCCCTGGAGCACAAGAGGCAGGAAAAGCTTCCAACTCATAATCTTTATCCTACTGAGGGCCCTCTGGTTTCAGTTCTTTCCATGCAACCATTTTTTTTTTTTTTTTTTGGTACCAGGGATTGAACTCAGAGGCACTCAACCACTGAGCCACATCCCCAACCCGATTTTGTATTTTATTTAGAGACAGGGTTTCATAATTGCTTAGCACCTTGCCATTGCTGAAGCTGATTTGAACTCTCCATCCTCCTGTCTAAGCCTCCCCAGCCACTGGGATTACAGGTGTGCGCCTGGCTTCTATGCAACCTTTGTACATTTTATGGCCATACCAAGAATTAGAAGGTGGCTGAAGTTTGGGCAGGGCTGGGACTCTGGGAGAGGCTGAGAGGAGCCCTAGAAAGTGGGTGCTTCCTAGATAAGATCAGTAAGACCCCCGACCTCCCATACAACAAGACTCCACTTCTGTCATGTGGGTTTTTTTTTTTTTTAACCTTTATTTATTTATTTTTATGTGGTGCTGAGGTTCAAATCCAGTGCCTCACACATGCTAGGCAACGGAGCCACAACCCCAACCAAGACTACACTTCTGGAAGTCAGGGAAGCAGTGTTGAGCTTGGAAGCGGAATTGAAGGTGGTGATGCTGCACAGGGAGGAGGCTTGGTTTTCATTCTGGCCCTACTTCAACTTCTGAGTGACTGTGGGTAAGTCACTTTGCTTCTCTGGGCCTCCGTCTCTCATGACTTGAGCAATGGGCCATATTCAGATTGGCTAGCAAGGCCTTTGAAACCATCTGGCCTGCCTTTCCCACCTCTTCCTATCTTATCATTTTTCAAATGGGAATGCTGGGGCCCAGAGAGATAAATTTCCTGTTCCAAAGTCACACAGTTTAAAAGCAAAAGTGGAAGCCATAGCATAATATTTGTAACATGGTCACACATGAAAAAAATTGTACATTTAATGTAAGAAAATACATATAAATCTATAAGGACACACAAAAAGATACAGGGCTGGGCATGATGGGACATGCTTATAATCCCAGTGACTCAAGAGGCTGAGGCAGGAAGATCACAAGTTCAAGGCCAGCCTGGGCAATTTAGTGAGATCCTGTCTCAAACTAAAAATAAAAAGGGCTGAGGATGTAGCTCTGTGGTAGAGTGCCTCTGGGTTCAATCCCAGTACTGGGGGAAAAATGTGATAGTGACAGATATACAAATTATAGTGGGTCTTTTGGGGCTGAGGGAAGGAAAAGAAATGAAGCAATGAAAACAGTTATTATTCCTTTTACTTGTGTATTGCTGGGAAACGATTGTGACAAAATATATTTGTGTATTATTTTTACACTTTTAAAAGATATTATTTCAAATGGAGCCCTGACAAAAGCACAGGTCTCAGCTTTCTATTTTTCTCACAACAAGCTTGCTCTGGCCCATTCCGGATCTACAATGCTGTGGGCTCTAAGCTGCTCCTGTACCTTGGCAGGACGTGCCAGGATCACCACACTCTCCAGATCAGACCTTGCAGTTCTCAGCCTTTGAGATGAAGACTGTTTGTCATTAATGGCTGGATTTCAGACACCATCTAGCAAACAGAAAAGGGGAGGGGGGGTGCTTCTGAGCACCTACTAGATCAAACAGTTAGAGAGCCACATATCTGTTTGTAGGACCCTAATTTAAGGACCTCACTCATCTAGGGGTGTCTGGGTTCCACAGGGAGGCAGGGATAGTGCAGAGAGAGCTTTTCTCAACCCCAAGGAGACAGTCCAATACCCAAAGAACTGATGAAATCATGGTCTCTACATGGAATTTAACAGTCCCTTCCTGGCTTTCAAATCCAGGTACAGAAGAGCCCTCAAGGAGGAGAAGAATTCTGAATTCTGTTTATAACTCTGATGCTATTCAGTTTTGTGACATCAGGTCAGAAAACCAGCTTATCTTTGTGGAGGGCCAGTTCTTTTTCTGGAAAGTGAAGAAAAAGCCAATCTTTCCTTTTCCTAGGGGAGGTTTCACAAGAGATGGCAAGGTAAACCACCAGATTAGGTTTAGAATCCTGGTTAACACCTGCTCTTTTAGAAATCACAAAAGACAGCCACAAGGTCAGTTTGTACCCTGAGCCAGAGGACCCTCCTTCCCTCTTTGCCTAGTGAACTCATTCTTTGCCATCCAGTTGAGAGGCCAGCATCTCTGGGATCTCACCTGGAAGTGAGAGCCTCCCTTGGACTCTCAGAGTGCTTGGTTCTTATCTCTGCCTCTATATCCTTATCTTACTATATATTGCAACTACCTGTTTGTAGGCCTGCTTCTTTCCATGAGCATAGATCAGTGCTCAGGCAGGCCTGGGCTTGCAGGTCGGAGCACATTGGAATGCCCAGGCCTGCTGCTGGAGGGAGGGAGGCAGGAAGAGCCAGTGACCACACTCCTGCACTCTGGGCTGCCTGCTGCAGGACCCAAGGGTGGTAGATCTGACTTGCAAAGGGCCTGAGCTATGTGAATGGATCTCCTGTGACTCCTTGGGTCCTCTTTTGGGGCTAGATTCTCTGACCCTTCCCTTTCCACTCACTCACTGCTTCCATCTTTACTATTTGGCTGCATTATAATTGAATAGAGGTCTTGGAGAAAAACAGCCCCAACTAATTATCCCTCTTCCACAGCAGTGTAACTTGGACCATGCGCACCCTCTTCCTCCCAGACACCCAGAAATGACACATCCCTTTTTGCCCTCTCAGTGCTCTCTGTCCCTGCCTTTCCCTGGGCTCCCAGTCTCCCAGTCTTTACCCACAGTACCCTGCTTGGCCCCTAGGCTACCTCTCAGTGCCCACATTCCTGCAACCCCGTGACCAAACCAGGGGACGTTACACATTCTTGGCCTGGCAGTCAATGGTGTAAAAAAGAACAGAATGTCCCAGGGCCCCACCCATCCCCCAGCTTCACCTGGGCCCCTCCCTGGCCAGGACAAGGCTGAGCAGGGGGGTGGCAAGTCTGGAGGGAAGAGGATGGAGGAGGAGAGAGAGGCAGCAGGGGCCAGCAGTTGTTCCCACTTTTGTGGAGACTCTTCTTTCTCACTAGAACCCAGGGATGAGGCTGATCCTGTGGGTGACTTTGGAGGTGCTCCCACTAGGGGGGATCCTACCTCCTGGAAGCCTTCTTGAGGCTCCCTCCCTTGCTTGCCTGCTTGGAAGAAAGACTCCCTTTGGCTCTCTCCTCTGTACTTTCCACCTCTGCCTCTGTGTCCCAAGGCCCCTCCTTCATCCCTCTGTCTCAGCCCTTCACTCGGTCTGTCCTCCTCTTCCTGTCTCCCCTTTCTGCCTTCCCTGTTCTCCTGGTTTCCCCACCCTAGTCTCACTCATCCTGGTGGCTCATCCTCCTTCCTATTTTGCCCTCCTGGCTTTGTGTCCAGGATTCTTCTACCTGTTCAAGATTTCTAATGCTTATCTACCTACCCTTCTCCCCTGCCCAGTCTCCATCAATCCCCAGCCCAGACCCTTCCTCACATCTCCTCCCACCTTCTCAGGTCCCCACACTCCAGCCCCCAGGAGTCCTCCTTCTTTGGAGAGCTCTCAGCCCCAACTCCTCCTCTGCTCCTCCCTCCACCCTGCTCACCTTTAATTGAGATGCTAATGAGGCTTCTGTCCCTTCCATCCCTGGCCAACAGGCAGGCAGGCGGGCTCCCAGGCCAGGCCGCTGCACCTGTCAGGTGAGGGGGAGGAGAGGCTTGGCTGCCAGATTCAACTGGAAAGGAACCAGTCCTAGCCCAGCCACACCTGGGAGTAGGGAGAAGGAGGCAGCTCAGACCTCCTGGAGCCCTGCAGTCCCAGGGCAGAGAGGGAGTCAGGACAGAGCAGGAGGAGAGGGCCCAGGAGGAGAAAGGGAAAGGCTGAGGAGGAAGAGGAAGAGAGGCAGGATCAGAGAGCCTGGCACAGGGAGAGGAGACTGGCAAGGAAGAGGAGAACTGAGAGAGAGAGACCCGAAGAGAAGCTGAAGGCAGGCAGAAGGGGTGAGAGGCAGAAGCCAAGCCACAGTGCTGAAGGAAGAGGGCCAGAGGCCGACTGACCAGCAGGCAGAGGCCTCCTGCTGTGGAGAAAGAAAGGAAGGTGTTAGCGCGGAAAGCAAAAGTGGCCTTATCTGGGAAGCAGAGAGGCCACTCCAGGGAAGCCCAGAGCCAGCTCCTTGGCCCGGACTCCAGCAGGTCAGCTGGCTCCTGGAGAGGTGGAGGAGGGCGGGAGGGAGGAGAGGGGGGAAAGTGGACTCAGGGTGTGATGTGGGCATGGCCCAAGCCAGCCTCACTCTGGGCCCAAGTTGTTGATGAAGGAGGGCTCCCAAAGCCCTGAGCTCAGCCTGACCCTGACCATCACCTCCCCAACCCACCTAAGGGCTCAATGAAGGGGGACAAGCTCAAGGAGCAAGACCCTTGCCCTCCCCCACCCATCCAAGGGCTCATGAAGGGGGACAAGCGTGAGGAGCAGGGGCTGGGCCCCGAACCTGAAGTCCCCCAGCAGCCCACAGAGGAGGAGGAGGCTCTGATCGAGTTCCACCGTTCCTACCGAGAGCTCTTCCAGTTCTTCTGCAACAATACCACCATCCACGGTGCCATCCGCCTGGTGTGCTCCAAGCACAACCGCATGAAGACGGCCTTCTGGGCCGTGCTCTGGCTCTGCACGTTCGGCATGATGTACTGGCAGTTTGCCCTGATGTTTGAAGAGTACTTCAGCTACCCTGTCAGCCTCAACATCAACCTCAACTCTGACAAGCTCGTCTTCCCTGCTGTCACAGTCTGCACTCTCAATCCCTACAGGTCAGTCCGTCTTCTGCCACTTGCCTGACACCTGGAAGAGTGGTCAGAGGACATAGAAGTGCTCATCCGTCAGGCAGAACCCGCAGGCCCAGGGGGAGGAGCTGATGTTCTTGTGCCCAGATTGATCCCCTCTGGGCAAGATAGGGAGTCCCCCCTCCCTACTTGGTGGAATGGCATTCCTGCCCAGTGGAGCCAGCCTCACCCACAGAGGAGTGCTGGACGAGCAGGGCACTCCATTCCCATCCCTCTTCTTCCCGAAAGGGGGAATTGAGGAGGTGGACATACTGATAATTTCCAAAAGGGCAGGGTCGAGCTCAGCCCCACTACTTCCTGGAGCAAGATGACAACCTTCTAGAACAAGGTCTCTGCCACTTCTGCAGAAGGATCTGATGTAGGGCTGGGGTGTAGCTCAGTGGTAGACTGTGTACTTAACATGTGCAAAGCCCTGGGTTCAATCCCTAGCAATAACCACCACCACCACCACCACAAAAAAGAGTTTAATGGAGAATGAGGCCAGGTGAGGTGAGGCCAGGCCATGCAGGTGCCCTGGAGGTGGGTGAGGTCAGTCTTTGTGTGGAAGGGGAGCCTTGTTGTGGAGAAAGCATTGTGTGTGGGGTGGGTGGAGGTTAGGGCTTAAAGCAAGCCTTGAGGGTGGGGGTTAGAAAAGCTAGAGAAAAATGGGGTAGGATAGAGAGCCGCCCCTTGTCGACTGTTCCCAAAAGATCCTGCTAAGATATGGAGGCCCCTGCTCAGGTGCCTGACCTCCACAGGCTTGTGTGTGCCTTGATATTTTTGGGTTTCATCAGCACTCTTTGCCAATTCTAGTCTGGAAATTAGAGAGGGTGGTAACCATGGAGAAGAGAGGAGGGCAGGGCTGTTTACATATACCTTTTATTTGTATTCACTCAGTCCTGCCACACCTTGGGAACACCTGCGTAAAGCCAGCCACAGTGCTAGGCCCAGAGAAAATGGATTCATTAATAACTCAACAACCTTGATTGGAGATACTTAGCTCTAGGTAGTGGGGACACAAAGCTAAAATAAGGTGGAGAGGTAGGAATATAAACAAATAACTGCAGTACACTGTGATAAGTATAATGAAAATCATGAGTCAGTCTGCCTTCTAGGAGTGCAAGATCTTTTATGAGTCTTTGTATGCATATGAGTGTATGAGCACACCCACTGGGAATGTGTGTGGTTTTGGATGGTTGGGATTGGTTACATGTTGCTGGTGGAGGCCCCTCATATAGTCTGTTGTGTCCTAAGGTGCATTGTGAACTAATAAGGGTTGGGAAGTCCTGTTCTGGAGAGAAAATACTCTCTTCATATAATATCCAGGGCAGGGGCCACTTGCTGAGTAAGCTACTGTATGCAGCAGCCACTGCTAAGTGCTGACAGCCAGCTCATGACATTCTCACAACATCCTATGGAGGCAGGAACTATTATCCCTGTTTTGCACAAGAGGAAACTGAGGCAAAGAGAGATAAGTCACCAGTTCACAGGGATAGTGACTGAACTGTGACTCATCTGTTTGCCCAATCCCCAAACTCTGCTCCTTCTTAATACACAGGATGTAGGACATGGAATAAATGAAATCTCCAATCAGATGATGTTTCCCTCTTATTTCTGGGCCGTCTTTGATCCTTCCCTCAGCTTCATTTTTTCTGTAAGCTTCCTCCCCCTCTCATTCCCTTAGGCCAAAATGGAGGTGGAGAACATAGCAGGAGCGGGAGGACAGGTCTGGGGAAGGCCATGAGCAGGGTAGTAGGCACTCAATAAATATTTGTGGTTGCAAAGATGTTGATGAGATATGGAGAGGGCAGGGGTGAATCTGTTGAGGCCTGAGTGTCTTCTAGAATTCTTCTGGGGGCCGGTTCCAGGACAGGACAGGATAAAACTGCAGAGAATGGAAATCACAGGAGGGGAGATAGTAGAGGATAGGAAAGGTAGCAGAATACAACAGTTACTAATAGGGCATTATGTAAAAATGTGGATGTGTAACCGACGTGATTCTGCAATCTGTATTTGGGGTAAAATTGGGAGTTCAAAACCCACTTGAATCAAATGTATGAAATATGATATGTCAAGAGCTTTGTAATGTTTTGAACAACCAATTAAAAAAAAAAAAAAAAAGAAATCACAGTCCTTAGGGGCTCCCAGGTTGGGAGATAGGTGGCTACCGCATAACAATCCCTCCTGCTGGACACACTGTGGTAGAGTTAGGAGGGAGAGAACACTTAGGAAGGAAAGGACGAAGGGAAGGCTCCCAAGCACAGGGCAAGCAGACCAGACACCTCCTTTGTGCTTACTCCTGTGCTGAATGCTTTCTAGATACTATCTCATTTAATCTTTTTTTAAAAAAAACTTTTTTAGTTGTAGATAGACACAACACCTTTATTATATTATATTATATTTATTTATTTATTATGTGGTGCTGAGGTGCTAAGCCTCACCGGTGCTAAGCAGGTGCTCTACCACTGAGCCATGACTCCAGGCCTCATTTAATCTTTTTCTTTCTTTCTTTCTTTTTTTTTTTTTTTTTTGTGTGTGTGGTGCTGGGAATTGAACCCAGGACCTTGGGCATTCGAGGCAAGCATTCTACTAACTGAGCTATATCCCCGGCCCTCCTCATTTAATCTTAAAAAGTGCAGGGAAGTGGGTATTTTTATATATTTAATTTTTCAGATGGGGAAATTGAGGTTTATCAAGTAAAATAACTTGAACAAGTCCACATAGTTAATAATAAAAATGATAACAATAATAGCTATTGCTATGTATATTTATGTGCCAGGCATTTTTCCAAATGAATCAAAACCTGAAGTAAGTTGGGCATGGTGGTGCAGGCCTGTAATCCCAGCAGCTCAGGAGGCCGAGGCAGGAGGTTTGGGAGTTCAAAGCTAGCCTCAGCAATTTAGCAAGGCCTTAAGCAACTCAGCAAGACCCTGTCTCTAAATAAAATATAAAAAGGGATGGGGGGTGGGGGTTGTGGCTCAGTGGTAAAGCGCTTGCCTAGCATGCATGAGACACTGGGTTCGATCCCCGGCACCACATAAAAATAAAAACAAATAAAGGTATTGATTCCATCTACAACTAAATAAATAAATAAATGGAGATGTGGCTCAGTGGTTTAGCGCCCTTGGGTTCAATCCCTGGTACCAAAAAAAAAAAAAAAAAAAAAAAAAAGAAATCAGAATTAAATGATATTAAATTATTTAATCCTCACATCTTATTGGAAGTTGGTACCATTATCCCATTTTATGGATGAGGAAACTGAGACCCAGAAAGTTAAGTAACTTGGCCAAGTATAGACAGGTAGCAAGTGGTAAAAACTGGGATTCAAAAATCACTACCAAGAACCAGTGCACCTCAGATAAGCAATCACAAACCAATTTTGTTTGATATCAAAGGGCTCTCTCCCATTACACTGAAAGTCAAGAGCAGGCAAAGGCTTCCCAGGGTTGGGGCAGTGGTAGGAGACAGTGGAAAGAGTGATAGTAAGAGGAGGGGTACTTTTCAGGAGTCCTGAGCAGGCAGGGATCCAGGCTGGTGGCTCTGTTGGAGGAGAGAGGTAGGGTGGGTAGACAGGCTAATTAATGCAGCTCGGTGAGTGCTAACCTACCCGAGTGTGAGTCAGAGCAGCCAGGCAGAGCAGAGGGAGGAGCTGGGGCAGAGGGAGGAGCTGTGTGGCTCCCCCAGGGAATGAAGGGAAGGTGTCGGAATGGGTTGAGATAGAGGAACTGGAGTGGAGCAGATGGAAGCTGCAGTGTCCACCAGCTGAGGACTGCAGCCACTAGAGGGAGAGTAAAAAGATGGTCCTGCCTATGGGGCTGTGCTGCTTTGTATAATATCCAGGAAAGGGGACAAGGCTGACAGCTGTCCTAAGCAAGGAAGTGCTAAGAATCTGATGGAAAGGGTCCACACCACTGCTGTCCCATTCTTTCTGGCCCACAGAGGGGTTTTTCACCCAAAGGAAATTTCATATTCATTCATATCCTTGGAACATAGAGCTAGTCCAGACCTAAGGGAAAACCCAGGGTTCTTGAACAATGAATTGTGAAATCTTTTTTTGGAGATGGCAGAGCAGGGGCCCTGGTAAACAAGTATGGGAGAGGAGGCTGGGTGTAGTGGCGCATGCTTGTAATCCCAACAGGAGGATTGCAAGTTCAAAGCCAGCCTCAGCAACTTAAAAAGGCCCTAAGCAATTTAAAGAGACCCTGTCACAAAATGAAAAACAAAAAGGCCTGGGGATGTGGCTCAGGGGTTAAAGCCCTCTAGGTTCAATTTCCAATACCAAAAAAAAAAAAAAAGAACGAGAGAGGAAAGGGACAATTTCCCAAAGAGAGCCACTTCAGGGAAGGAGAGTAGGTTTGAGCTAGAGAGTCATCCCTGACCATGGGGGGCCCTACAACTCACCATCTGGAATACCAGGCTTTGCTCTGCAGGCCTGGCAGGGAGACAGCTCAGACTTGGACTCCCTGAGCCTCCCATACTGATCGGGTGCTTCTCCAGGCAGAAACCTTATTCCCTCTGCAGTAGCTACTACTAGAAAATTCTTCCTTAGGTAAAGCTGCAGTTTTCCTCCTGGTAACTTCTACCTTTTGGTTCTGCATTTTGAAGTAACATGGCTATTAGTTCAGGTACAGCTGTAACAGCAGCTGCTACTCTGCAGGATACAGAGTGCACTCTCACATTTTGATCTCATATCACGCTGCTTAGATGAGGAGGCAAGTATCCCCATAGACAGATGAGAATGTCGAAGCTTGATAACCTAGAGGCTTTGCAAAGTCGCCCAGCTGTAGAGTGGAGGAGTCAGAATTGGAATCTGCATCTTTAGTTCCACTTTTGGTCAGACCACAAGGTCATGTGGTAGATAAGTGGCAGATGGTGCTCCTTTGTCTCCTTACCTTTTTTTTTTTTCCAATAATAGTAATAATAATAGTGATGATAATAAAAACAACAGTAGCAGTTGTATAGTTTTTACTCTGCCAGGTACTCTGTCC